TTTCAGCACTTGTGGGACATTATCAGAGCACTTCTTTCAAATACCATCTAACACGAGCAAAGGAACAGAGAGAGGGAGGATCTGAACTAGACCCAGCAACAATACTAGAACGATAAGTTTCAAAACGATTAGTGGGTCCAATGAAAACAAGTCCTTCCCAAGTGACACATGCTGTGACATCACGTGAAGACAGCCATGCATCAGACCCCAGGGATGGCACAGAGCAAGGAGAAATCGACACAACGATGCAGCCTTGGACTATCCCAAGCATGTTGATCCCAACAACACAAAAGAAAACAAGGGACGTAGAAAACAAAGCTCGGAGAACCAACCCCCAAGGAAAGGGAATGCCAAATAACAGTTTAAAACACCTTTGCATAACATCTCTTATTTATTTATTTATTTAGTTAGTTAGTTAGTTAGTTATTTTTATTGAATTTACTGGGGTGACACTGGTTGACAACATTACACAGGTTTCACCCTAGCCCGTTTGGCTCAGCAGTTAGAGCATTGGCCTGCGGACCAAAGGGTTGTGGGTTCAATTCCTGGTCAAGGGCACGTACCTCAGTTGCAGATTTGAGCCCCGACCCTGATTGGGGTTGTGTGGGAGGCAACCAATCTATATGTCTCTATCACATAGATTTTTTTCTCTCTCTCTCTCTCTCCCTCCTTCTCTTCCACTCTCTCTAAAAACCAGTGGGAAAATACCCTTGGGTGAGGATTAACCAAATAAAATAAAATACACAAGTTTCAGGTGCACAATTCTACAACACATCATCTGTACACTGTATTGTGTGTTCACCCCTCAAATCAAGTCTCCATCTATCACCATTTATCCCCCTATACCCTCCCTCCACCCTGTCCCCCCTGGCAATATAACATCTGTTATTTAAAGGAAACATTACAAAAAAAAAATGTCTTGGATGGGCCCTACCTTCGGTCTACACTGCTCTTGATCGGTGCCATAGGGCAGTGATGGCGGGGAGGAGGCTCCAGCACGTGTCCCGGTTAGTCTGTGATCTTGGGCCCAGGTCCCCATCTACAAAATGACAAGGGCAGGGGCCCCTCTAGCTCTAACAGGTTGTGTCTTTAAAGCAATAGTCCATGGTTTACAAGAGAGACATTGAAGTCAGAGGGCGCATGTAGAACAATAGTGAGTTATACTCATGGGCAAATTTTAAAAACGGGTTGCCATCAGGGTAGCAAATAAAAATGATTATGAAATTTTATTTTTATTTCTTTTTTGTTTGTTTGGTACGTGCCCCTAGCGGGAACCAAACCCAGGTCTCTCTGGTCCTCAGGCCAATGCTCCAACCGCTGAGCCAAACCAGCCAGGGCTATTGTTATGTTTTAACTGATTTTTTTTTTTTTTTAGAGAGAGGAAAGGAAAGAGAGAGAGAGAAAAACATCAATGAGAGAAAGAAACATTTATGGGCTGCCTCCTGCACGCCCCCTACTGGGGATCGAGCCTGCAACCTGGGCATGTGCCCCGACCAGGAATCCACCCAGGACCTCTCAGTCCCTGGGACGATGCTCAAGCCACTGAGCCACATCGGCTGGGCTAATTATGACATTTTAAAAAGCACTGAGGTATACATCAGGGCATTGGGCTAAGCATTTACTCACCAGAGAAGACATGAAATATCTAGAACAATAAAAATCCTGGTAATGACACTGAGTGTCCATGCCCCACACAGGTACCAGGAAAGGGCATAAAAGAGAAACTAGCTGAGCCTTGGCCGGTGTGGCTCACTTGGTTGGAGTGTCATCCCGTACACCAAAAGGTGGCAGGTTTGATACCCAGTCAGGGCATGTACGAAGGTTATGGGTTTGATCCCCTGTCGGGCCACATGCAGGAAGCAACTGATAGATGTTCCTCTCTCACACTGATGTTTCTCTCTCTAAAAAAATCCAATAAAAATACACTTAAAAGAAAAGCAAAACTAGCAGAAATGCAAGAAATGTATGTAGATCTATCTATCATATCTATCTATCTATCTATCTATCTATCTATCTATCTATCTATCACCTACCTATCAGAGCAGAGGTAGGGAACATCTGGCCCACGGGCTGTATAAGGCCCTCAAAATCAACACCAGCTGACATCACACACCTCACCAAACTAGCCTGATCAAATATAGCAGGCTAATCCTTAAGTTGATGATTTGGTATGGCTCCCTAATGATGCTATAAGTATCCAAATAGACCTTGGCCGAAAAAAGGTTCCCCAGCCCTGAAAGGGTACTGACAAGAAGTTATGAGGAAGAAATGAGAATGCCTAATACATTTATTGATACGTTGTGTGAACCCAAAAGTAGGACATGATGATTCACTGAAACAAATAAATGGAAAGAAAGTATCTTGCACATAAAAGGTATTTAGCAGTTACACAAAGACAGGAAGTCCACTTATCACATTATCCTAAATACATGAAATCATCTTAAAAGAATAGAACAGGAACAGGATTAGAAAAGTGCTCAGCTACTTGAAGATTTTGAAATACCGCCTTAAATAATGTCTGATTTGGGGACAAACTTCTGCATGCAATGACAGAAACCATTTTTAAAAAAATGAAAATAAACATCACAATTGTTATATTCTGACGGTATCCATATTGTATGTAACGAGTAGTCGACAGTTTATAGACAAGGAAAAACAGCCATAAAACCCCACGAATGAGTCCACATATTTTACGGCTCGATGAAATGCAAACGAACATTTATTAGAGTCTCATTACATGCCCATGAGACTTTAAAGGAAGTAAAATGATAAAACCCAAGGTTGGCAGATTTTTGGTGGCACCAGACTTGGCCCTGGAGGGACAGACGTGAACAAGGCCATGGAAGCCGAGTGCAGAGGTGGCCGGGGCGGGCCGCACACCACGGGGTGGGGGTTGGGAAGCAATGTCGCAGGTGTTTAAAGCAGTCCCTGAGCATAAGGCACTGTATGGGTTAGCTTGTCAGTACACGGGCTACTGGAGAAAGGTGTAATTAGAATATAACTGGGGGTTTGGTCTCACTCACCCTGGTGTCCCCAGTACCATGGCACCTAGCAGGTCCTCAGTAAACACTTCTTGAATGAATGAAATGTGCATATGAAATTACAGCCAAAAAAATAAAATAAAATAAAACAGAAACCCTGTTATTATGCACTCTTTGGTTATACCCACATGCAGAGATGTATCTGTTTATTTTTAAAAGCTCAGATAGGCCCTGGCCGGTTTGGCTCAGTGGTAGAGCATCGGCCTGCGGTCCAGAGAGACCCGGGTTCGGTTCCTGCTAAGGGCACGTACCTCGGTTGCAGTTTGTCCCCGGCCCTGGTTGGTTGTGCGGGAGGCAGCCACTTGGTGTGTCCCTTTCACATCAATGTTTCTCTCTGTTTCTCTCTTCCTCTCTCTCCCTCCTACTCTATCTGAATAAAAAAATGGGAAAATGTTCTCGGGTGAGGATGAAAAATAAATAAGATAAGATAAAAAAATAAAAGCTCAAAAGGAATTTGGCAACGATGTAAGTCCTGCATGTTTCTCTGCTCTGTCAAGATACTTTAACTCATAGTTGTTAGAGTAAAAAAAAAGTTACTCACACAGACCCCTCCCACCGCGTGTTCCTGCCCTGTGTGTGCTATGTACTCCCTTCTCCTCTGGAGCCTTAGGTGCTGGATTCATGAATCTAGGTCCCTTGTTCTCAGCCTGGCTGCACACTAAGATGGCCCGGAGCGTGTGCACTCCTAGACCAGCCGCTACCTCGCCTGAACCGGGCATCGCTGGTTCAAATCTCAGCCGGGGCACAGAGGCCGCTTAGACAGCGAAACTCTTTCAGGAACGTTATATTTCCATTTCATAAAATGTGTTCATTCATTCTCCAGAATAATTCTTTAAGATGTCTTCATGAAATCCTGAGTTCAAAACCACCCCTCTGGTATTAAGAAAAAGCACCGGAACTGGGTGTGCCACCGTGCTAAATGCAATCAAACACTGGGGTTGCGTCTTCTGCTCCCCACCCCCAAGCCTGACTGTCCAGAGTGGGCAGACTAGGCTAGCCTGGAGAGCCTGTGGCCTTCGTCAGGAGAGGATTGTTCCAGCTTGACGCAGGAGACTGTGGCACCTCGGAGGGAAGGCGAACTCCGGGAAGTCCTCACGGGAGCTGGGGTGATGCTGACAGGAGGGGGGGGTCTGGTCAGGGAGCACGCCCTGATAGTTGCCCTCAAACCCATTCTGTCCGTGTGATAAAAAGGAGCATGAAGGTAGAGGTCTGGGATTGAAGTTCCATTTGAAGACACAAGGGACTCTGGTAACCCAGATTTTAGGCTGTTCATCTCCTGTTGGTGGGGGAACGCCACTGTGTGAGCTGTGCTTAGGTCCCGGGTCTGAGGAAGACCCACTGGTACCGGGGTAGACAAGGCCACCCACCGAGTGCGGTCTCCAAAGTATTCCCCAGAGACCGACTCTCTGCTCCTGGGCTTGTATCTCCAGGACAGGGGTTAGGTCTGCTCGTCTTCCCTCCCCGCCTCTCCTGCCTACCCGAAGTGTGGCAGGGATCATGGGCGTGAGTGGAGGCTTGGCAGGAACTCCCTGTATACCTAGCACAGCAGGTATCACATACTGCCTCGAAACCCAGCTAGGTCTTAGGATTAAAAGGCCCCTACTTGCACCCTGGCTGGTTTGGCTCAGCGGTTAGAGCGTCGGCCTGCGGTCCAGAGAGACCCGGGTTCGGTTCCCACTAAGGGCACATACCTCGGTTGCAGTTTGTCCCCGGCCCTGGTTGGGTCGTGCGGGAGGCAGCCACTCGGTGTGTCCCTTTCACATCAATGTTTCTCTCTGTCTCTCTCTTCCTCTCTCTCCCTCCCACTCTATCTGAACAAAAAAATGGGAAAAAATGTGCTCGGGTGAGGATAAAAAAAATATAATAATAATAAAACAAGATAAAAGGCCCCCAGTTGGGGGTAGTGACAGACCAGTGCCAAAGGACTGTGTGGGTAACTGTGTTCTTCCCCTCCTCCAGGCTGCCCATTCTCCAGGGAGGGACATTCAGTCTCATAGCACCCACCCTGGCCATGCTCTCCCTTCCCGCCTGGAAGTGTCCTGAGTGGACGTTCAATGCCAGCCAGGTGAACACCAGCTCGCCCGAGTTCACCGAGGAATGGCAGAGGAGGCTGCGCGAGGTACTGGGACACGAGAGGGGGGTGGATGGTCGGCGTGCGGAGTGGAGGGTCCTCAGTGGGGCTACCGTGTTGACTCATTTGTTCAACATCCATTGTTCAATTCTCCACCTGGCAAGATCCTGGGCATTAAGATACTACTGTAGATAAGACAGGCAAGGACCTAATGTCCTCGTGTGTGCATGTGCAGGGCGGGGTGGGAGGGAGAGACTGAAGGTGTATCTAGAAATACAACTAAAAGTAAGTTATGATTTATTTTCCATTTATTTACTTTTATTGATTGTTTTAGAGAGAGAGAGAAACATTGATGAGAGACAACATGGACTGGCCGCCTCCTGCATGCCCCCCACTGGGGATCGGACCCACAGCCTGGGCATGTGCCCTGACCGGGAATCAAACCGGCGACCTCTTGGTGCATCGGTTGACCCTCAACCCCTGAGCCACACAGGCCGGGCTATTTTCCATTTATTTTAACTGTAAAGGGCAAAAGTAGCATCAGTTGGTGCAGTAATTTGGTGGGTGGCCTTCTTTCTTCCTGCCCCCAGTGTCCATTGTCCCCACGGGGCTCCCTTCTCAGCCATCCGCTGTTCCTACTGGAAGACAAGGTTTGAGTTCTCTGCTGTCCTTCAGATAGTGGGCAGCAACAGTGACACTGTGAATCCCTCCTGGTGTGTCCTTCTCCAAGGACTTTCAAACATTTTAATAAGTATATTGTCATGGGGTCCTTTCCACTGGGTAGGATACCTCCCGAAGACCCCAGACTTTCCCATCTGGATCATCCATGGCATCAGAATTCCAATAAGTCCCATTAAATGGATTTCTCTTTTTCCCATCTTAGGGAACACAGCGAAACCCCAAGTCCTGGGGAAAGAGGGTTTCTGTACCCCTCTCACTTCTCAGCCTGTCCTTCAGAAACTGCTCCATGGGTGACTCGCTTTCGTGCCCCTGACGTTTAGCTTAATCTCACCCTCTCGTGCCCTGGAAAGCAGCCCTCTGTGCCTTCATCACCTGCATTGTTCCATGCACACAAATTTTTCAGTGATTTTACTGCTTTTAGGACATGACATGAAATATGAAAAGGTCACTCGATATTGTATTTCTTGGTCCACTCCTGCCCTGTTCACGCGATGAAAAGTGACCCTTGAGCTGTTTGATGTATGAGTTGATATTCATGTTGGTGGGCAGTCTGGGCTGCCAGTCTTTTTATAGTGGTTTGGGCCAGGGCTTCAGCTGTGGAACAGGCAAAGCTCAAACCAGGACTTCCGTCAATACCAGTTTGAAAAATATCTGAGAACCTTCCATGACCTGTGAAGTGTCCAGCATAGGAGCTGCCAGCTCCGTGAAGGGCCACGTACCCTCGTCTTCTCCCACCAAAGGCGCGTGTGCCCATTGCCGTTGGCAGTCTGGGCCGCTCTCGCCACATAAGCGACCTCGGATGGACGTGGTGTTGTGTTGTTTGTTAGCCCCCGTGTGACCCAAGGTGTCCTTGTGGGCCCTAGTGACTGTTCAAGGTCGTACTTCCCTCCCCTTCTAAGATTGAGGGGCATCCACGTGACCCGCCGGTATTTGAGATTTGACTTGCAATCCTGTCCCACAGAAGGTGGAATGTCAACAACGCCTTCTGTGACCCATGTGCCAGATCAAACTGCTAGTCCATTGGCCACGGCCAAGAACCTGTGGAATTATATAGAAACAATTCCGGGTATCTATGTGTGCATAGCCAGCCATACCACACATAATTTGACCCATTGGCTGAAGTTGGATGGGCCGTGTTCTTCCATGAAGGTCCTTCTGTAGAAATATTATACTCTTCCAGACTCAACCTTTGCAAGGCTCCATCCAGTGCTTGGTGAATTCGAAGACCACACATTGGGCTTCGAGTCTCCATTGCTAGAGTTTGATTCCCTTGTGCAGTAATGTCTGCCCCAGGAAAGATGGGACTGTCCCTTGCCTACAGACCCTAGAATCCCTTGGGATAAAAGGCAGCCCCAGGACTTGATAAGATGATTGAAGTTCATCACATCTTGGTAATCCAAGCACAGAATCCCTTCTGTGTGACTGCTTTTCCCCCCGAATAGAACTAGTTCCCTTTAATCAGCAAATTCTGTTGATCAGCCTCTTCCTTATTTGAATGTCTTTCTGACCTCACTCGAGATATGCTTGGGCTCTCTGATCTTAGAGTTTTGGGTGCCATTTGCTCATCGTCTAATTCCAAACAGTGCCCAGTAGCAGACTAGTTATAATGGCCTTTCAAAGGGAGGGTGCTTGAGTGGGGGCTTCGAACATGCAGTGTGGACTCGGCCACCGGCACGTCTGATACCTCAGGGGCATTGTGCCTGTATGGACACAATGGGTCAGTCTGAGCCATGACCTGTGACTTTCAGCCAGAATCCTCTGCTGTCCTTCCCTTTGAAAAACAGCCTTTTTGCACTTGCCTATGCTTGGATTACCAAGATGTGATGAACTTCAATCATCTTATCAAGTCCTGGGGCTGCCTTTTATCCCAGGATGGATTCTGAGCTCACGGGGCTTTTTAGTCTTTAAAGAACAGTCTCACCTACTTCCAGACCAAGATATTCCTAGGAATGCACTTGACAAGCTGGCGGGCCCTGGATTTTTGCCCAGTTCATTGGCCAATCTCAGAATGACGTGTGTCGTGTTATCTTTCCAAATCAGACGCTCTTCAGCGACACCTAGGTTTTCTATCTGATCCATAGAACAAATCACAGAACACATGAGGTTGGTGGCACTTTTGCTGTTTGTGTGTTTTGTGGGGTGTTTGTGCTGTTCCTAGGCAGCTTATGCTTGGCTTTGGTAAATGCAAATGAAAACCAAGCAGAGAACAAGAAGCAAGAAGCCAGGGGCGGGAGTTCCCTTTTTACGCAGATCTGCTGAGGAATAGAATTCCTCTTGCAAGAATGTCTTGCCTTCCTGCTATCCAAGAAGAGAGACCTGACAAATTAATGTGTCTCATCTCCTACCTCATCACTTCCGCTGCTCAAATCCTGCCTGTGTCCTGGTGCAGTGTCTGCCTCCCGCCTCGCAACGGCGCCCCCCTTTGCCACATTCAGAAGCAGTCACCCTGTGTCTTGAGGACACCAGGCAAGAGCTATGGGAAATAATCCCCTGGGGCTGGAACAGTGTTAGTACTGGGAGAGGATGTTTAGGGACATGAGCCATGCCATCCCTGCCCTGAGCACGGGACCCCAAGCGACAGAGAATCCATGTTTTCTTTAATACGTTTACTGTTTTTGTTTGTGTTTGCGACACACGGGAGTCCTGCAAAGCAGGAGTCCATGTGCCCTGCATCGGACCCAGCCTGGGGTCTATTTTTTTTTTTAACTGCCCATGAACTAAGAATGGTTTTTGCATTATATTTATCTATTATTTTTTAATCCTTACCAGAGCCTATTTTTCCACTGATATTTATTTATTTATTTATTTGTTTAATTATTATTTTTTTTATCCTCACTTGAGGACATTCTTGCATTCATCTTCTGATAGAGCGGGAGGGAGAGAGGGAAGAAGAGAGAGACAGCCCTGGCCAGTTTGGCTCAGCGGTTAAAGCGTCGGCCTGCGGTCTGGAGAGACCCGGGTTCGGTTCCCGCTAAGGGCACGTACTTCGGTTGCAGTTTGTCCCCGGCCCCAGTTGGGGTTGTGTGGGTGGCAACCACTTGATGTGTCTCTCTCACATCGATGTCTCTGTCTCTCTCTTCTTCTTCTTGATTTTTAGATAGAATGAGAGTGGGAAAGGAGAAAGAGAGAGAGAGAAAATCGATGTGAGAGAGACACGTCAATTGGTTGCCTCCTGCACGAATAGGCTGGAGACTGAACCTGCAACCGAGGTACGAGGCTGACTCTTGAGTCCGCAGGCCAGTGATCTAACCACTGAGCAACCGGCTAGGGCTGGTTTTTACATTTTAAAAGGATGTTTTAAAAAAGAATATATAGTCCTAGCACTGAGGGGTTGCCGGTTCAATTCCTGGTGGGCACATGCCTGAGTTGCGGTTTCAATCCCCAATCAGGGCATGTACGGGAGGCAACCAATCAATGTTTCTCTCTCTCTCTCTCTGTCAAATCAATAAAAAACATATCCTCAGGTGAGGATTAAAAAAAAAAAGGGCCCTGGCCGGTTTGGCTCAGCGGTTAGAGCGTCGGCCTGCGGTCCAGGGAGACCCGGGTTCGGTTCCCGCTAAGGGCATGTACTTCGGTTGCAGTTTGTCCCCGGCCCTGGTCGGGTGGCAGCCACTCGATGTGTTCCTTTCACATCGATGTTTCTCTCTCTCTCTCTGTTCCTCTCTCTCCCTCCCACTCTACCTGAACAAAAAATGGAAAGGTGTGTCCTCGGGTGAGGGAAAAAAAAAAAAGGAATATGGCCCTGGCCGGTTTGGTTCAGTGGTTAGAGTGTCAGCCTGTGGACTGACTTGGATTTGATTCCCTGTCAAGGGCATGTACCTGGGTTGAAGGTTCAATCCCCAGCCCCAGTGGGGGTTTGGCAGGAGGCTACCAATCAATGTGTCTCTCTCATATCAATGTTTCTCTCTCTCTCCCTCCCTCCCTTCCACTCATCTAAAAACCAATGTAAAATTATTCTGAGGGTGAGGATTAAAAAAAATAGAATATGTAACAGAAACCTCATATGGGCCTCAAAACCTGAGGCATTGACTAGCCTGCCTTTTACAGAAAAAGTTTGCCAACCCCTGCTCTGAAACACAGGGCCCAGGTAGGGCTTCCTCTCCCCCAGGCCTAGACTCAGTTTTTCCCACATCGCCTCCTAGTGGTCAACACAATAAGCCCACATCCAGAGTCTTGTCTCTGGTACTTTAGCTCCACCTGCTGGGCTGATGTGTTTCATCAGTGCTGAAACCAAAGAATGTTTTTACACCTTTCGACTTCATTGATTGACTGCTGGCTTTTAGTCTCTGACCCAGCCCATTAGAATTTAAGGTGGTTTCTCCGTGTCTCACTGAGTTATATTTGTCCACACACATCTCATGTCTTGAAACTGCTGAGGGTCAGCAGATTGCCTGGACATCACAATACCAGACACAAATAAGAGTGACACGAATATAGGACCAATAGGAATGTCATTACTGACTGCGATGTGAGAAGTAATGGACAGGTAAAACTGAGCAGTGATTCTATTGTCAGGAAACGGTGGTAGTAGAAAATAGGAAGAGATGACAAATTCAGTTTTTAAAACCAGACTAATTTTATCTTCACCTTCCAGGGTCATGGGAGTTTCTATTTATATACTTGTACATGTTAGGTGAATAGAATGACTGCAGTGGACGTGTGGGATACATTAGTATTGTTGTGTTATTATTATCTTTTTAGTTCTCACCTGAGGACATTTTTTTTTGCATTTATCTTTATATAGAGCGGGAGGGAGAAAGAGAGAGAGAAACATTGATGTGAGAGAGACACATCGACTGGCTGCCACCTACATGACCCCAACTGAGGCCGAGGACAAACTGCAACCGAGGTACGTGCCCTTAGCGGGAACCGAACCCGGGTCTCTCTGGTCCACAGGCCGACGCTCTAACCGCTGAGCCAAAACAACCAGGGCGGATTGTTGTGTTACTGTAAGGTACTCACACTACCCATGAAGTGGTATAATGTTATTTGAAACTGAACTTGGATTAGTTGTAAAGGTATATTGCACATTCCAGGGCAACCACTAAAATTAAAACTTTAGAAAGAAGAAAAAATGCTAAGAGAGGAGATAAAATGGAATCACGTAAAATGCTCAGTTAAAACCACAAAAGGCAGAAAGAGTGGAAGACAAAAATAGAAGCAAAGAACAAAGGCAACAATTAGAAAACAGTAACGAACATGGGAGGTATGAATTCGACCGCATCCATGATCACCTGGAACATCAGTGGTCTAAATGTACCAATTAAAAGACAGAGATTATTAGAGTAAATAAAACAAAAAAAGATCCAACTCTGTGTTGTCTACAAGAAACCTACTTTCAATATAAAGACACATGGAGACTAAATGTAAGTAGATGGAGAAAATACACCGTACTATCACTCATCAAAAGAAAGCAGGATTACTTTCAGAAAGAGCAGACTTCAAAGCAAGGACATTTATCAGAGGTAAAATAGAATATATAACATTCAGACTAGTAAAGTAAAAAAGGGGGCAGTAAAAAAAGTGGGGGGAGCAGTAAAGGAAGCCCAATCAGCCCAGTATCGGGGTCCGCAAACTACAGCACACAAGCCAAACCTGGCCTGTAGCCTGTTTTTGTACCATCCACAAGCTGAAAATGGTTTAATATTTTAAGTGGTAGGGAAAAAAATCAAACAAAGAATAATATTTCATGACATGTCAAAATTATGTGCAATTCACATTTCAGGGCCTGTCAGTGGGGTTTTATTGGAACACAGCCAGGCTCATCTGTTCACATGCTGTCTGAAAAAGTTTTGACAGAGCCCATATGGCGTGCGAAGTCTAAAATATTCACGATCTGGTCCTTTGCAGAAAAAAATTGTCAGGTCCCGCAATAAAAAATAGGAACACGGAGAAAAATAAAACAAAAAGATGTTCAGTACATTGCGAAGTGATGCTAGCATTAAGAGTCATCATCATCACTATGATCAATGAATACTGCTGAAGGCTACCTCCCGAGGAGGTTTGTATTGCGTGAAAGTGTCCAACAGCTCACCCAGAACTAGAGCCTCGAGGTGCCTGAGTTCCATTCTCTTTTCAGTTGCAGGGCGTCATCATGGTCGCTTCCTGTTTCCAGATGCTGGTGGGCTTCTCGGGGCTCATTGGCTATCTCCTGCGCTTCATCGGCCCCTTGACCATTGCTCCCACCATCTCCCTCCTGGCCCTGCCTCTCTTCAGTTCCGTGGGCGATGACGCCGGGGCCCACTGGGGGATCGCCGCCTTGTAAGTCCTTTCTGGGGAGGGACAGTGTCTGAGTTCTCCTTGGGGGAAGATTACCCAGTACGAGTACGGAGTCCTGGATATTGGCCAACTCTGTGGTTTACAGATACTTTCAAGAACATTGTGACGCCTTGAAAAGCAGCGAAATTGCTACTTATAATGTATTATTACTACTCTTTGTTGTGTCATCAGTACACACCGACAATGGGTTAGCACGAGCAGTGCAGAACACTCAGTGTAGGTTGTTCACAACAGGTGGATCCGACCAGTCCCCTGCCTACGAGGTTTTCATTGAGCAAATAAGTGTTTGTAACCCTCTGGCACCGGGGAAGGGTGCAAAGACGTGGCCTCATATCAGTGACTGACACCAGGAGACGCGATGGGTTAGGGTGTCGCGCTGTCAGGGAAGGGTGCTGACAGCCAGCTGGCTGCATCAGGAAGTCTTCCTTGAACAAGAGGCCTCGAGCATTTAAACAGCGCTTTGCAGGGACTCAGGGATGACACTGGACATTACCACTCACTCTCTCCATGTGGTCTGACCATGGGGACCTGCAGAGTGACCTGGGAGAGAAGACGATCTCACACCCTGGACTTATTGGCCCCAGATGCTGGATCTGTTCAGCTGCCAGCCCCAAGGAATGCTAGCCCCCCTTCCCCCTGCCCTTCAGCCGCCTGCAGCTTCTGAAAGGGTCCCGCCCTCCCTTCCAGAGACGCAGGCCAGGTGGGGACCTCCCAGGGTGGCCGCTGCCCCCGTGGTGGTGCCGTGCCCTGGACCCTCGCTCTGTACCCCGGCCTACCAGACTGGGCGTGGCTTGTTTCTGTTTCAGAACCATCTTCCTCATCCTGCTGTTCTCTCAGTACCTGAAAAATGTCGCAGTGCCTGTGCCCACTTACGGACGAGGGAAGTGTCACACCTCCAAGTTCTACCTGTTCCAGGTCTTCCCGGTGAGCAGCACCCGGCCCCCTCCCGTTCTTAGGCGACGCGCCTGGAGAGCGAGGGGCAGCCCCTTGCACTTCCAGGTGGCTCCCAGATCAAGTGCTGTCCCATCTGCGTGGCCTCCCGTGACCGGCCTTACTCCACCTTGGCCCTGACCCTTGGGGCAATGCCATACCGGGGCTCTCTTCAATGCTCCTCTCCAGGAGCAGAGACTCCTGCCCTGGCCGCCGCTCCCCCTGTCCCCTGGGCCATCCTCACAGTGAGATACTGGGGAGACAGCAAGGCTCACTGCTAGTTACATAAAACTAGGGGCCGAGATTCTTAGATCAGGTTCTTTCTCAGTGGCCCATGGGTAATTCAAGGCCCCCGGGATGATGATGCATCTCCCTTCTCAGAGCCTTCTCTGTTGAATGTGCACCGCACCATCAAGTATGGGTCCTGCGGGTCACACTGTTTTCAGGTTTACTTAACTGTGAACCTCACGTCACCTTGTAAGGAGATCCTTCCGCGTAATGACCCCATCAGTCCTTCAGTGCCCCTTGGGCCAGTGCTTCTAAACCTCAGGGTGCATAGGGATCACTTGGCTAAAAATACAGTTTTCTGGGGTTCAGCCACCAGAGAGTACGTATCTGAGGACCTGCTGTAAGAACCCCTGCTTCCGGCTCTACAGAGCAGTGGTTGTGATTCCATTGCACAGATGAGGAAACTGAGGCCCGGAGGATTCAAGGTCATGTGACGGCAAACAGTAGAAAGGAGACAGACTATGTAGTAGATGCGCACTTTGCTAGCCATTCCGCCTCTCTCTGACACAAGACTCCCATTGTTTATTTCCTATGTTCCTGCAATGTGCTGATTATCCACAACACACCCGAGTCCTGCTGTCCCTGGAGGGGCCCCGGGGAGGCGCCGCAGGGCTGGGGCGCCCCGCGGTGAAGGGCGCCTTTCTCCCGCAGGTGCTGCTGGCGCTCTGCTTGGCGTGGTTCCTGTGCTTTGTGCTCACGGTGACCGACACCCTCCCCTCGGCCCCCACAGCCTATGGGTACCTGGCCCGCACTGACACCAGAGTCCATGTTCTGAACCAAGCCCCTTGGTTTCGCTTCCCTTACCCAGGTAATGAGATGGGGACCCTTCCGCCTGGGACCATTTCCCAGGACTGCTCGGGGGGCCCAGGGCGGGATGGAGAGTTGAATAGGGCTGGAGGCAGGCTTTCCTCCAAGGAGTCTGACGAAGGGAGACGAGCCCTCGGGAATCCTTATCAGACCCCCGAGAGAAGAAGGAGACCCCTGGGTTGTCTAAGAATCCTGTGGGGACAGAGAATGGTACCCCTTCCTATGGTGAGAAGATCGGGGCACTGGGGATCACAGGGTAAGGCTGCTGCGGCTCCTGGGGCAGGTGGGGGACCTAAATGTGTCACACAATGTATTGGTCTCCTATTCTGCTGTGACAAATCAGCACAATCTCAGTGGCTTCCAACAACCCATATTTATTATCTTACCGCTGGACAAGAGGCTCCCCTCTCTGACCTACCTCTGAGCTGGCCTCCATCGGCCATGCCCACGCCTGAGCTGAGAGTGGGGAGGACAGAGAGGCCCCTGCTTCCGAGCGGGCCTTGGGGTCTCCTCCCGGGTTTGGTAGATCCCACACAAGAGAGGCCTGGGACTGAATGAGAACGGTTCTGGCGGGACAAGTTCAAGGCAGCCCTTAGGCCACTTCTGGTCTCCTTGCCCCACAATCCTTGGCTCAGGGTGTTTAAATAACCAGGTTCCAGGGAGGGCTGCCCTGGCCGATGGCCCGTGGAGCTGGGGTCTCCCTGAGTAAGAATCTCATCTTGCAAATGTGTCAAGGTCCTTCTGGGAAGACACTCCATTGCTGTCTTTCTGTGCACAGGACGTCTGGCCCACCCTGAGGGAGGATGGTAGGGCAGGAGTCTGAGCCAAAGCATCTGTACAGCTGTGGGGCTGGACATGCTGCCGGTCTCAAAGCCTTCCAGAGACCCCTCTGGCAAAGACATTATTTGGGGTTCAGCAGCCTGTTATTGTCTGGATTAATATTCCCTCTGCATTGTGTTTCCAGGACAGTGGGGTCGCCCCACCATCAGCCTGGCTGGGGTCTTTGGGATCATTGCTGGGTTGATCTCCTCGATGGTGGAATCAATAGGCGATTATTATGCCTGTGCCCGGCTGGTGGGGGCCCCACCCCCTCCGAAGCATGCCATCAACCGCGGCATTGGCATTGAGGGCCTTGGCACTCTGCTGTCAGGGGCCTGGGGGACAGGGAATGGCACCACCTCCTACAGCGAGAATATCGGGGCACTGGGTATCACCAGGGTAAGACTGCTGATGGTGGCTCCTGGGGGCAGGTGGGGGACCTTAATCTGTCACTCAGTGTGTGTCTCCTATTTCTGCTGTAACAAATGAGCACAAACTTAGTGGCCTCAAACAACCCAGATTCATCATTTTATTGATCTGGAGTCAGAAGTCTGCCATGGGTCCCCTGGGGCTAAAACAGAGGTACAGGTGGGGCTGTGTTCCCGTCTGGCGGCTCTGGAGGAAAACCCATCTCCTTGCTTCCCATCACCTAGAGGCTGCTCGCCTTCCTCGGCTGTGGTCCCCCTCCGTCTTCCCAGCACCTCTCTGATCTCTCTTCCACAGTCACACTCCCCTCCAACCCCAGCGAGGAGAGGGTCTCTGCTGGTAGGGGTTCCTGTAATGAGATCAGGGTTCCCTGGATGGTTCCCTGGATGACTCAGGACACTCTGTCCATCTCAAACCCCAGCTTCATCACACCTGCAAAGTCCCTTTGCCATGCAAGGGAGCATAGTCACAGGTTTGGGGATTAGGACACGACACCTTTGAGGGGCCCTCATTCCGTGTACCACACTCGCCCTTCTTGGTTGTGGCCATTCCACAGGCAGAAAGTCCATCCGGGCAACCGCAGAAGTCAGTGGCATTGTGAACACTGAAGAAAGTCCTTACTTTCTGAAATGTGGGTAGGAGGTCAGTGACCTTGGCCCAGCCGTGTCAGACCTCTGAACCCGAATCTTCAGCTGTCACCTGGTCCACCTTCCTCCTTCCCCAAATCCCTGTGGGAGCAGAGGGGGGTCACTTTGGGGTTAGGTGGTGTTCCCGTGAGCCCCCGGAGGTTGTTCAAGGTGCCGGGAGCAGGGTGGAGGCCTCTGGGGGGTGTGGCCTGGCTGCTGAGCCCCTCCTCCCCTCCTGGCCTGCCGCAGGTCGGGAGCAGGGTAGTGATTGTCACCTCGGGCTGCGTGCTGCTCCTGATGGGCCTATTTGGGAAGATCGGGGCTGTGTTTGCCACCATCCCAACCCCCGTGATCGGAGGCATGTTCCTCGTCATGTTCGGGGTCATCACCGCCGTGGGAATTTCCAACCTGCAGGTGAGCCGGGCGCCCTCGGGAAAGCGCAGCATTCACGTCGGGGGAGAATCCACCGGGACTGGGGTGAAGGAACAGGGCTGGGAAGGGCAGCGGAAGGGGTCCCTAGTCCCAGGAACCACGCTGGCCCTCCAATGGAAGACAGAAATAGCTGGAAGCAACCCAAACCAGAAATTGTATCCATTTGAATTGGATCATCCAAACCACTCAGCTCCCAGGGTCTAGTGGGAATTGGGGTGGTGGGAGGGCAGGGGCATTTGGAGGGGTGTTAGATTGGTGTGCAGCAAAGGTGCTGATGCCTCCGGGCTGCCGGCGGGGGTCTCTCCCACAGTACGCGAACATGAACTCGTCCAGGAACCTCTTTGTCTTTGGCTTCTCCCTGTACTGTGGGCTCGCCATTCCCAACTGGGTGAACAAGAACCCCGAGAGGCTGCAGACAGGTGACTCCCCGTCCTCTGGGCGTGACCACTCCAGGGGCAGAGCCAGTAGGGCCCTTGATTCCTGGGAACCCTCGTCACTTCGATCTCCACTCTAGGGATTCACCAGCTGGACCAGGTCACACAGGTGCTGCTGACCACGAGCATGTTTGTGGGTGGATTTCTGGGCTTTCTACTGGACAACACGATCCCTGGTAAGGCGCCGCTTTGCTCTGTAAGCTAGCGGTGTGGGTGGACGGTCAGCATTTGGGCCACTCACCCTGCTTCTCCGGCTCCCGTTCCCAAGTCAGGCTGGCTGCAGTCTGTGCGGCCCTGGGGTCTGGGCGGGGTGTGTGGGTCTGCATGGCTTCCTAGGGCTGCCATCACAAAGTGCCGCAGTCGGGGCGCTTGAACAGCCGAAATGCATTTCCTCGCGGTCCGGGGGCTGAAGTCCGGGGTCAAGGTGTTGGCAGAGTTGATTTCTCCACCGGCCGATCCCCCAGGCTTGCAGACCGCTGCCTTCTCGCTGTGTCCTCGCTTGCCCTTTGCAGTGTGGGTGCGTCCTTGGTGTCTCCGTGTCCTAGGCTCCTCTGCTTATAAAGACACCTGTTAGATTAGATTAGATTAGGGCCCACCCTGAAATTCTCGTCTTTCACTTAGTCATCTCTTTAAAGCTCCTGTCTCCAAACACGGTCATATTGTAAGATACAGGGATTAGGGTTTCAATATATAGTTTTTTGGGGGGTGGGGGCACAATTCAACCCTAAGGTGAGAAATACACCATAAACAAAAAGAAAAAGAGCCCAGCTGGTGTGGCTCAGTGGATCGAGCGTCGTCCCATGGACTGAGAAGTCCGGGTTCGATTCCCAGTCAGGGCACATGCCCAGGTTGCAGGCTTGATCCCCAGTAGGGGGCGTGCAGGAGGCAGCGGATCGATGTTTCTATCTCATGGATGATTCTCTCTCTCTCTCTAAAAATCAATAAAAACATTTTTTAAAAATGAAAAGAAAAAGACACAGCCCAGCTCTCCTAGAGCCTGCAGTCTAGTTGGTGAGGGAGAGAACACAGGCATTCATTGATTGGTTGATTGATTGATTCATTGATTCATTCATATTTTCAACAAAAGCTCCTTGAGCACTTGTGTTCCAGTGCTATGTACTGGCACCCCTGTTCCATTGCACTTCACTTCACTGTGCTTCACAGATACTATGTTTTCTTACAAACTCCACCAGTAAAGAGATTACAACTCGCTTTTTTACAATACTTGCTTTGCTTTTTTTTTATCCTCACCCGAGGACATTTTTCAATATTTTGTTCAGATAGAGTGGAAGAGAGAGAGAGAGAAACATCGACGTGAAAGGGACACATCGAGTGGTCACCACCCACACGACCCAACCAGGGCCAGGGACAAACTGCAACCGAGGCACGCGCCCCTAGCAGGAACCGAACCCGGGTCTCTCTGGACCACAGGTCGACGCTGTAACCGCTGTGCCAAACCAGCCAGGGCCAATACTCGCTTTTTTACAATACTTGCTTTATTATTATTATTATTATTATTATTATTTTTCCTCACCCGAGGACATTTTTTCGTTTTTTGTTCAGATAGAGTGGGAGGGGGAGAGAGAAAGAGAGAGAGAGAGAAACATCGACATGAAAGGGACACATTGAGTGGCTGCCACCCGCACGACCCAACCAGAACCGGGGACAAACTACAACCGAGGTACGTGCCCTTAGCGGGAACCGAACCCGGGTCTCTCTGGACCACGGGCTGACGCTCTAACTGCTGAGCCAAACAGGCCAGAGCAATATACTCGCTTTTTTAAAACCCGCGATATCTCCGAGGTAGGCCTGTACTGAAAATACAAACAGCAGAAAGACATGCCCCCTGCCTTCCAGAGACCCGCAGGCTAACGTGGGAGAGAGGCAAGAAAACAGACGATTACAATATGAGGTAATAGTGTGATGATGAGCAAATGGGGCCTCTGAGTGCTGAGGATGTGATGTGCAGAGCGACATCACACAAGGCTTTGCTTTCCACGCTCTCTTCTCGACCCTCCCACAGCCTCCTGCAAGGACCTCTATGATAGCATCTGCTTCGGGGCATTCTATTTTCCACATTTCTTTTCTCCTCCAAGTGTCAAAAGTGTCTGCATTCCAGAAACATTAAAATGTGGAAAGGCCAGCCCCCTGATGAAAGGACGATGGTTCATAGAAGGTCTTACCCCGGAGCTCTGCATCGTGTCAACCCCACAGGGGGAGCTCAGGGAATGCCTGATGAGCTGGGCTGAGCTGAGCTGATTCCTGAGATCGGCGGTTCTATTGGCAGGTGGAGGGCACACAGAGGAGATCTCGAGTGCCTGCAGGGGGCGCCAGAGGCTCCCTCCCACCTCATCCACCTATCCGTGCCCAGTCTTGATTGCTCACTGTCTCCTCTCAGGAAGTCTGGAGGAGAGAGGCCTCATGGCATGGAATCAAATCCACGAGGTTGAGGAGACCACGGAGGTCTTGGAGATCTACGGCCTCCCCTGTGGGATTGGCACCAAGTCCTGCACCACCTCCTGGACCCAAAGCCTCCCCTTCTGGCCCAGGCTGGAATGTGGTAGGAAAAGGAAGGGGGAAGTGAGCCAGCTCACACTCTACTCCCAGGATTCCTCAGGAAAGCACCTGAACAGTGCCACAGAGACCAGGATGTGAGGCCGTCTCTTCGGACGCACCTGCCCAAGTCCTCCCCACCCTCCCCACCCCTGGATGTGCTGACCTCCCCATGCAGGAATGGGTGGCGACCACACCCTCCCGAGCACCTCCAGCACCCCCCACACCATGGCAGCTACATAAGCATTAGATGAATGAAGACCATGACAACCGTGCTCTGACCTGGTGGTCACTTAGTCACTGAAGCCTGGCCTACAGCTTCATCCTGGAGTGCTGGGCTTCAGCCCTCCTGTCCCTAGTGTCAACCAGTGTAGCCTGATGTCCCCACAGGAACTCCCTCAGCCCACATGTTCTCAGCAGTATTTTGATGCCTTCAGAGGAAGAGGTCTGGGGTGGGGCAGGGGATGGAGATGGGGCTGTTGGCTGAGAGAACAGGTCTCTTCCCAAAGTGGCAGGTGGACCTGCTGGCCCCTCCAGGCCCTTCCCCTCTGTGCCCTGCAGTTTACAAACAGTCAAGTGCCAACAAAGCTGCAACCCCTGCACACCCCAAGGGGGAGTCCTAGAGGGTTGGATCCTGCATCACAGGACAATGAGCAATGAAACAGCCAATGCATTTGGGGGGCCCATCAGTGGAAGGGAGCCACTGTTGCTATGATGTATAAACTGTAAAGAGCTGGGCAAACCCCTTTTCTCTGCACACTCAGTGGATTAGTCAGAGTTCTCCAGAGAAACCAAGCCAATAGGATGTGTGTGTGTACACATACGTGCAGGTCTACATACATACATGTGTACACACGTACATGGTAGTAGATATATACTATATACACACATATATTATATATATCTTTAAGCTATGAGCTCCTGTGATTGTGGAGGCTGGCAAGTCCAAAATCTGCAGGGTAGACCCCAGTAAGCTAGGAAGAGTTGCAGCTCAAGTCTCTGAGGGCTGTCATTGGCAGAATCCCTTCTTACTGGAGTCTTTTTTTAGGTCTATGCAGCCCTTCAACTGATTAGACAAGGCTCACCATATTGTGGCAAGTAACTTGCTTTACTCAAAGTCTACTGATTTAAATGTTAATCTTATCTAAAAAAATACATTCACAGAAACATCGAGAATAATGTTTGACCAAACAGCACACCCTGTGTACACGTCCAGGGACATTATACACTCTTTGCCCAGGAGCCCCACCAGAAAGTGCTCAGACACTGTTGGGATCTGGCTCAGACTCATTCAGGGGTCTTTATCACCAGAAGAAACAGGTGTAGTTGGTTCTGCCCTGATGTCCTGTAGCACACAGTTGGGGTCAGCACTGCTCCTGGGCTCCCAGCATGCAGGATGAGTGGGTGGTCTCCAGAACTCTCTAGAACCCACCAGAACAACCACCTGAACCCAGAGTGCACTGAAAGTACCCGCTATCATGGCACCTCCAGAGACAGGTCCTGCCTGTCCTTTACTGGAAGGCCTATGGCCTGAGCCTCAGCCGCACCCACTACTCCCCAAAATAGCAGTACAGGGGGTGCAGGTGTGTGCCCTGCAGGCCAGCCCCTTACACCAAACAACCCCGAAAGACAAACATCTTAACACTTTATAATAATCAGGAACTACAACAATCAAAATGCTTCTGGGACAGTCCATCCAGAATATCCCAGAAGGTCTGAGGCAGGTTCATCCTTGGCTGCCGGCGTTCAAACTCGGAAACTCCGCCTCATTCACTGCCTTCCCTCCCAGCCCGCGCAGTTACAAATCGTCATCGTCAAAGGTCTCCGTGCACTGCAACATCATCATTTCATCGTCCACGGGAAGGTCTAGTTCCTGCAACACAGGACGGAAGAGAACTGATTATTTAGTTAAGGACTGCTGCCCGGGCAGACGAGGAGGCCCCACCACCTCGGGCAAGCCCCGCTCCCTCGGTCTCTGCCCCCATCTTCTCAGCTACATCTTCACCTGCAGCTTATGGCCAGGAAGTTGGGGCAGTGGGGGGAAGGTCCCATTTCTATTTTATTCTGTGATCACCAAAAAGGCTTTTTTTGGATACAGCAGAACTGGCTTCTTTCCCATCCTGGGGATATCCAGGATCCCAGAAGAGAGACAGGGGAAACTTACAGTTTTATTCAAATGTCCATTAACGGAGGATGGTGAATTACACCATGACGCACCCACCAATGGAACACCATGCAGCTGTTTTATTATTATTATTACTATGTTTTTAATCCTCACCTGAGGATAGTTTTATATGTATCTTTAGACAGAGTGGGAAGGAGAGAGAGAGAGAGAAACATCGACTGGTTGTCACCTGCATGACCCCAACCCAGGCAGGGGTTGAACCACCACTGAGGTACGTGCCCTTGGCTGGAATCGAACCTGGGACTCTTTGATCCACGGGCCAATGCTCTAACCACTGAGCCCCCGGCCAGGGCACCATGCAGCTGTTTCAATAAAAAGAACGTGACCCCTCTTTATCTGTGCGATATATTAATTTAAAAGGGCAAAGATACAAAGCAATGTGGACAGTAGGCAACCGTTTGTGTTTGAAAGAACACATAAATATTGGATGGCTGTTCAAGAAACTGGTAATGGTAGCTGCCTTTGGGGAAATGAATGGGTTATAACCAAGGGGCACTGATAGGAAAGAGACTAAGTTTTCTTTGTATATTTTTTGGTAACTTGAATTTTAAGCCATGTACATGGGTTAGCTATTAGGAGATGATTGGTTTATTTAGCGAGGGTTTCTCATTCCCTTACAATGACCCCAGCCAACCTCTCCAAATTCCCATTCTTTCTCTTCCTAAAAGTATGTTCTGGGGTTTGGAGCACTTCCTGTCTTTCCCCACCATGGCAGGAAACGACCCCTGTAGTTTGCTAGGCTGCTGGTCTGGCGTTGATCCCCTTGGGCACTGGGACGCATCCCCAGTGCACCATCTCATGCATGTGGGACCTGGTCCCAAGGATGAGAGCCGGATGCGGGGATGAGTCTGCAGATGAAGACTTTCCAGCTCAGGGGAACAGTCCTCAATCTCCATGCTCTACTGATGGGGGCGGGGCACAGGGACCCCGCTTGTCCTAGTGGGGATCAGTGGCCAAGATCACCCAGGGCCCCTTGTTCAGAGTGAAGACAATGGCAAAGTTTGAGAAACGAGGGAGTCATAGTGTAGGAGGTGCCAGGAGGCCAAGTGTCCTGCAGGGAACCACACACTCAAGTCTCTGTCACACAAAGTATTTGAAAATTGTTCAAAATGTTCTAGTTCCGTAAGCCCCTGAAAATGGCATTTTAAGCTGAAGATTTGCAAAAGCAACAGGCTGTGAGAGGCTTCTGTAGGAATTGTGTGCTGCAGTGTGTTGAATTGTGTCCCTCCAGCCCCGTCGGAGAGGCTCCGTTGATTGAACGTTCTCCTATGCACCGGAAGGTTGCCAGTTCACTTCCCGGTCAGGGCACACACCTGGGTTGTGGGTTCGGACCCAGGTAGGGGTGCGTAGGGAAGGCAACCGCTCGATGTTTCTCTTTCACACAGTTGTTCTCTCTCTCCTTCTCTCTTCCTCTCTCTCTAAAATCAATAAAAATGTATTTAAAAAAATAATGGCTGGTTTGGCTCAGTGGTGGAGCGTCAGCCCGAGGACCAGTGAGTTATGGGTTTGATTCCGGCTAAGGGCCCGTACCTCGGTTGCAGTTCGATTCCCAGCCCTGGTAAGGGTCGTGTGGGAGGCAGCCAGTCAATGTGTCCCTCTCTGTTTCTCTCCCTCCCACTCTATGTGAAGATAAATAGAAAAATATCCTTGGGTGTGGATTAAAAATAATAATAAAAAACAATGTTTCCCTAAATCCATGTCCATCAGGAACCTTATTTGGAAATAGGGTCTTTGCAGATATAATTAAAGGATCTGGAGATGAACTCATCGTGGATTTGGTGTGGCCCTCAATCCAAATGACTGGTGTCCTTATGAGAAGATGAGAGGGCCAGAGAGACACAGAAGACAGGGCCAGAGACTGAAGCGATGCAGCTACCAGCCAAGGGATGCTGAGGGCTGCGGGGCCGCTGGAAGCTAGGCAGAGGCAAGGTGGGCTCCTCCCAGCTTCCAGAGACAGCAGGGCCCTGCCGACACCTTCCTCTGGCCTCCTGGCCTCCAGACCTGGGAGCTGCACACCCCCAAGCCTGTGATGATTGGTCCCAGGTCCTAGGAAACCAAGGCAGGGCTAATGAAGTGTCCATCAGCCACCTCCCACGAAGCTGAGCGGGCAGTGGATGGGCAGAGAACGAATTTCCCTCGTTACACCAGAAGCTAGGAAAGCCCCAGGCCTCCTGCACCACAGCCTCCAGGGCGACTTGTTCAAAATATGGGGCCCCACCCTGAACCACTGACTGAGACTCCTGGGGTGAGGCACTAGGAGCCTGCACTTCTAAGACGCTCCCAAGGTGATCCAGGTTCGAGCCACTCTGCTCTCTGGATCGCCAATCCCTGCGTGTTCTTTCCTTGTTGCTGGGGGTGCAGAGAGGAGGGAAAGCAAACTCATCCCACTAAGGTGTCCTCATGAAGGCGCGGCGTGGAAAGGGCCACATTATTCCTGAGCCTGTGGAAAAGCTGTCCTAATTATTTATATTTTAATTTTATTTTTTTTAAATAAATTTATCTTTTTTTTCCCTTTATTGATTTTAGAGAGAGAGGAAGTGAGGAGGAGAGAGAGATGGAAACATCGATGAGAGAGAACATCGATTGGCTGCCTCCTGCATGCCCCCCACTGGGGATCGAGCCCACAACCTGGGCATGTGCCCTGACCGGGAATTGAACGGGTGACCTCTTGGTGCCTGGGTCGACGCTCAACCACTGAGCTACACCAGCCAACTGTCCTAATTATTTTTAGACAGACATTTTCATTATTACTGCTCACCTTTTAAAACAAACAACTGTATTTTTGCTAAACGAGTTGAGAAAAGCTACGGCCATGAAGCTTTGTGGCTCAGGCGTAAACCCCTCCCCTGACAAAAGCTTCCAGAATGTGCCTCCTAACCAAGACCATAGCCACTTAATGTCATTATAAGCTGCAGAAATTAATATCCTCCCGAGGCTGACAGCAAATGTTACCCACGGGTCTCAGAAGATGAGGAAAAGGCCTCTTGGAAAGCTGTCAGGGAGTCACAGAGGTCATTCCTCGCCGTGATATTTGGGAACACCTGCGAAGGGTCAGGCCCGGGGACCTGGTTGCTACTTCGGGGTCTGGCCCGAAGAGCATCCCTCGTCCCCCCACCCCCATCTCCTCGGACATCTCCCATCCCACTGGCTGCATTAGGCTGAAGTCGAGCCCCCGTGGAACAGGCCAGAGAGAATGAAAGGACGTCCGCACCGGGGGCCTCGCGGTGTGGTCCGGGTGAGGGCCAGCTCTCCTCAAGGGCCCTTCTGGACCCCAAGGCGGGAGGGCGCCCCCTTGCTCTCCCCGGCCTACCTGCTTCACCTGGGTGTTAACACAGCACAGGTCTTTGAAGAAGTCGATGATCTGCGTGTAGAGCTGGAACTTCTCTTCCGGGTTCTCTGAGTTGCTGCTGGTGAACATGGAACTGACGACGAAGAGGGAGAAAAGGAACTGTTTAGAACCCTGCTCTTTGGCCTCTGCCTGTACCCTAAACATTTGGATTATGGTGTGAGCCAAGCTTTTTTATTTATTTACTTATTTATTTATTTTTTTCTTTATTGACATGAGAGAGAGAGGAAGGGAGAGGGAGAGACAGATAGAAACATCGATTGGCTGCCTCCTGCATGCCCCCCACTGGGGGTCGGCCAGCAACCTGGGCATGTGCCCTGACCGGGAATCGAACCGGTGACCTCTTGGTGCAAGGGTCGATGCTCAACCACTGAGCCACACCAGCTGAGCGAGCCAAGCACTTTAAAACACCTAGCTGAATCCTTGGAGAGCCAGGAGCCCTCCTCAGAAGGTCTGCATCACGTAGGTCCCACGTCACGTCTGGAACACGCTGGAACAGGGAGACGACAGGGGGGCTCCTGTGTCCTAATTTAGTGCCCTCAGCTGTGGCCTCTGGAACAGGAGAGCAAGATGGCCTCTGGCCCTGAGAGCCCACCTCTACAGCAATGCCCATGGCTCTGGTCCCCTGTGGGCTCCGCGCATACTTCAGTTCAGTCCCTTAGCCGCCTCCACCCAGCGGGTCAGTCCTAAACCAGCTTCCTCCGAGAAAAGGCCCCAGGGCAGACTTGGTCAGGCTGTTGCTTGTTTTCAAATCTCCGCAGGCCCTGTTTTGGGTCTTTTCAGCCCAGGGGTCAGCCATCGCCTCCTCCCCTCCTCGCATATCCACTGACACCAGGTGACAAGCAGCTTCTCCTGGTACAGCTCAGAGACTCTCCGAAGCTCCAGGCACGGGTCTGTCTCCATGCTGGCCCAGGTTCTCCATGCCCCAGGCCCCTGCCCCCTCCCAGACCAGGCCGACTGCTGTCGCCTGCCCACGACCCCTCACCCTGGGGAAGCAGTGCCACGTGAGCGACCTGCTGTGTCTCAGCCGGGGCCAGGATGGAGGGATGTCGGCTCTGAAGAACCCTAGACACTACATCGCCAGGACCAGCCCACTTCGAACCACGGGGAAAAGTGGATCCCCAAGAACTTCCACCAAAGTATGCACCCCTCTGAGGGACTGCAGGGGAGAGGCTCCTGAACATCCCAGCAGGGGCACACGCACACACGTACACACCTGCGCACATGTACGTACACACAGGCACGCTCACACATGTATATGCACACACATGCACGCACACACAAACACAGGTATGTATATACGCGTGCACACACAGGCGCACACTTACACACATGTACACATACACCATCTCACACCCCGTCCTTACCTGGGGCTGGATATACTTGGCGCCTCACTCTTGTCCAGGAAACATGCCACATCAAAGGCATCTTCAAAAAGGAGCTGAAAGAAGCATAGGACTTTGTGTCACACATCACTCTGCAGCTGGCCTCTGCCCTGGGCTGCTGCGGGAGAGATCAGTAGGCAGACTGCCTCTCTACCCTCATCCCTGGAGGGCGTGCCTGTTAGAGCCGGGCCCGATCCCAGGGGCTCTGCTTGGTGACCTTCCCGGGGGGTAAATATTAAGCTCTTGCCACCCAGAACGAACGGCCAACCCTAGAGGGAAATGCTGGGGGCTGAGGTCTCCTCTTTCTAAAGAAGACAGAGGTCCCGCGTGAGATGCAACAGCCAGAGCCGAGACTCAGTTTACCCAGAAAAGGGCTCGTCTACACCTCCCCGGGTGGAGAGCCTGTTTGAGCCCAGGATGGAGCAGTTTCACACCAGGGCAGCGGATATAGAGGTCAAGGGGCTCTGGAGTTAAGCTGCAGGACAGCCGACACCCAGCCCTGCCATGCAGGAAGCTGTGTGACCTCGGACAAGTGACTTAATCTCTTGAATGCTCCTCTGTAAATGGCGATCACAACAGTGCCTACGCACAGGGTTGTTGCAAGGATTAAATAAGATGAGAAATGTAAGGCACCAGGCACATAATAATGGCTCAAGCATGTTAGCTATTATTGAATATTATGTGCTTTATAAAAGAAATATATGTTTATCATGAAAACTCTGGAAAATAGAAACAAATAAAGAAAATAAAAATCACTGAGAAACAATCCCATCTGGAGAGGTCCATTGTTGACATATTGATTTATTTCCCTCCATCCTTTCCCTAGGCGTATTACATCATATATCCCTAGTTTTGGAATCTTGCTATTTAGACAGTTGGTTCTGCTCTTCCTTAATTTGTTGAAGAATATTAAGTATCCCACAGGGACATAATATACACTTAGGATGGCCAAATTTAGTAAATAAACCTACTAGATGCTTCATTAAACTTGAATTTTATATAAACTATGGCATGGGACCTTCTCACATTAAAAGTATTGCTGGCATGCTGTGTTTTATCCACACCAGGTCACCATGCAGCCCCCAGGAGAAGACAGGGAGCTCCCCAGCCCCAAGTTGGGTCTGCCCTTCGAATTGTCTGACAATGTACTTTCCCTGAACTGAACCCCTTGGGATTCTAGCCACTGGATAACCCCCTCCTGGTTTTCAGGACATTTTCTGGTGTCCTTTTTTAAACTGTCTCTTTGGTCATCTCAAACAGGATCTGGAAAGGGGTCACTGAGCTCCCAAGTTCATCAGCCCAGAAGCCCATCCTCTGGGTGTTCCTCTCCGGCAGGCCTGGGTGGGGACTCAGGACCTAAATTCCCGCCCTCAACCAGTCTGCCCACTGGAGCTGCAACCCCCACACAGGCCAGCCCAGGAGGGGCACAGCCAGGCTCCCTGGCCCTTCTGGAGCACCCAGCAACACATGACCCCGAGTCCAGGGCCGTGAACACAACCGTTCCACAGAAGAACCTCTCTAGATAGACCAGGAACTACAGAGATTTCACTACCTTGGACATAACTTCTTTTCGTTCCGCTCACCTTATCACCCAGCCCTGGGTTGGCCCAAGCCGACTTCTCTGAGCGGCAGCAATGCTCTTTGGGGTGGGAACTGACTGCCTCTCAGGGGTTGGACCTGGTTGGTCCAAATGCAACCCTATCTTGATTATGCAGGTCATTGGCTCAGTAATCTGTCAATCTGTCCAAGTCTGGCCAATGAGAGAGGAGGAGAGGTTCAGTGGGAATTTCTGGAGACGTTGTTTCTTGACCCTTGAGAAAGAGCCCCAGGACATCTCTCTAACCTGATGTGGAGGAGGGGCAATGACAGCTCCATTGCTACCAGCTGCCAGTCCAGTCACACAGGATGGGAAAGTGGGGAGGAGAGAAAAGGTGAGAAACCAGCCTTAGGATGAAGTGGAGCAGAGAGAAGAGAAGATCCGAGGCCATGGTGACATCACTGAGAACTGACCAGACCCTGCCCTGCCTTGGAACCGCCCTGAGTGTGAGTAGTCCATTTCTTCAGGGTTTAATGAGCCAGTAACGTGCAGATAAGAAATCCTAGCTGATACAACCTTCTCAGGCTTCTCCTCTGTAATCCTCATGGAAAGGCCAGAAACTAACTGAAGAAATGCTGTTCTACCAGGCCGCAGTGGCTCAGTGGTTGAGCGTCGACCCATGCACCAAGAGGTCGCTGGTTCGATTCCCGGTCAGGGCACGTGCCCAGGTTGTGGGCCCGATACCCAGTGGGGGGGCATGCAGGAGGCGGCCAGTTGATGTTCTCTCTCATTGATGTTTCAATCTCTCGCTCCCTCTTCCTTCCTCTCTAAAAAAAAAATAAATAAATAAATAAAAAGAAAGAAATGCTGTTCTATCATTGTGGAGATGATGGCAGGAAAATGAGACCCTGACCACATAAGCCAGAATCCAAACAGCACTTCAAACTTGCTACATGACCCCAAGCAGATTCCTGATGTCTCCTGGCCTGGGCTGACGCCCCTCCACCCCACCCGCAGGGTCCACGCACCTCCTCCGGGGTGGAGACGAGCGAGCAGCTGGCCCCTTGGCTGTCGAACCCACTGTCCTTCATGCTGTCCTCGGCACAGGCTGGCTCCTGGGTGGCCCCTGCGAGGCCCAGGAGACCGCTGTGCTTCTGCGCCAAGACCTGCAGGAGACTGGCCTTCTTCTCCTCGGAGAGGTTCTGCCACAGGTGGGAGATGGCTGCAGAGACGATGGGGAGCGTCACCTCCTGCGAGGAGACCACGCCGTTCCTGGTCAGGAGGTCCATTGTCTGCTTGTAGAAGTTGAGATACCTGGAACAGAAGCAACGCCGTCTCCCACACCTAAGCTTGAGACCAAGGGCTGTCCGTGGCCCTCCCCTCAGGCTCTGTGTGGGGCCACCTCTCTGTGCTGCACCGGGGCTCCGCATTGCTAGTCTCAGCCTGCCCCTGCCCCGTGGAGAGCAGAGCCATCGTGGGGGCCGTGGGTGACAGATTTCTGCTTCGGGGCCCTTCCTCCCGCCCTCCCAGGGCCCCCTGTGAGCTTATAGAAGAGAAGATGAGGGGCGCGGCCGGCTCAGCTCCCACCCCACGGGAAAACTGCTTAGAATCCCAAGCCCACGGCCGTGCAGACGTGATGTGACACCCACTTTCACCTGGAGCCCGAAAGTCAGGCTCGGCCGTGGACGGAGCCTACGCCCTGAAAGCCATCGCGGCTGCCAGGGGTCTCAGTCTGTGGAGGGGCAGTGAGTGGCAGTGGGCATCTGAGCCAGCCATTCGTCTGCTTTCTTACGATAATGCTGCCCAAGACGGACTCTGTGGGGGTGGGGCTCTAGCCCTTGTAATCAAGACCCCCAAAGACACCCCAAATAAACACCAGCCTAAGTAAACACAGTGCATGTGCTGTGCAAACGGAGCTTCAAGACCGTTTCCTCAGCTTTTCTGCCAACCCCGCCCCCCAGCCCCTCCTGCACGGAGCTGCCACGGCTCAGGGCCTGGTCCGAGAGCTGAGGCTGTGGCACTGCCCCCGCCGTAGCCTCGGTCCCGTCCCCACCGGACCTCCAGCTGTGCCCGAAGCCACCTCTCTCAGCCGTGCACACCGTTCAAATTCCATGAGGTCTGGTGACAAAGCGACTGGGGAGCGTGAGAACTCCGCTTTTCCCTCCTCCTCCTCCTCCTCCTCTTCCTCCTCTTCTTGGTCTTCGTCCTCCTCCTCCTCCTCATCTTCCTCCTCCTCGTCTTCCTCCTCAGCATCCTTCCCGACTGCCTCAAAAGGGCACGAGCAGGCAAAGTCTTTTGGATGAATCTTATTTGGGAGCAGGCTGAGGGGGAACAGAAACAAGACAACCACAGGTTAGTGTCCCTTGTGAACACTGACACCAGAATTCTTACCACAATCTTAGCAAATATATGTACGTGTATATACATATGATGTATTATAACACACACACACACACACACGTGTGCATTAATATGTCATGCTCAAGTGGGGTTCATCATATGAATGCGAGTCTGTTTCAGGCTGTGAAAATCAATCAATGTAACTCACCTTATCAACAGACTAAACATCTTATCAATATTTGGTTTTTAAATATTATGATTTTTACAACATCAATAGATGCAGAACAAGCACTTGGCAGAATTCACACCCATTCATGATTAAAACTCTCAGCAAACAGGGACCAGACGAGAACATCGAGAACATCGTCAGCTTGACAGAGGCCACCTGCCAACGAGTTCCAGCTAAGATCGTGCATAACGGCCAACGTCTGACTGTTTCCTCCCGAGTATCAGGGACGAGACAAGGATCTCCATTCTCACCCTCCCCTCAAAATCGCACTGGAGACTCTAGCCAGACCAATAAGGTGAAAAAAAGAAATGAAAGGTATACAGACTCAAAAGGAAGAAACTGTCTTTATTTGCAGACAATGATTGCGTATGTAGAAAATCCCAAAGAACCTGTGACAAACATGTGACCATAACTAAGAAGGGCGTTTAGCACGGTTGCAGAATACAAGGATGATGAACAAAAATAAATAGTGTTTCTATATACTATGTACAATAGGAATTAAAACTTTTTAAAGTACTATTTATAATAGCACCTAAAAACATGAAATACTAGGAGTAAACCAAAAGCTCAGTCTATAACAGAAAAAATGAATAAGTTGGACTTCAGCAAAATGTTGAAGTTTTGCTCTTCAGAAGACATAGTTAGAAGAATGAGACAGGTGAGCTCTCCCTCCCAGAGCGTGGCCACGCCCTTCTCCCCCCCAGGCACGCGTCTCCTAAACTCTAAGTGTCCCCACGAGACCTGCAGCCAGGGGAGCAATGGGCAGTGGCAGCTGGTCCGGGGCTCAGCCCCTGAACCTGTCTCCAAGGCCCCCTTTTCTCTGACTTTCCCGTGAGCCAAAGCAGCCCCGCCAGGCTCTCCTGCTGCTTCTTCTATTCTAAAAAGAAAAGAAAAAAAAGGAAAGAAAGAGTAAAAGTAAAGGATGACACACCATTTGGAAAATCAGAACTTGTACCCAGAGTGTCTTCATTCCGATAGAAATGATCTCCAAGGAATCATGTTGGATGAAAAACAAGTGAGCCAGTAGAAAACATAGGAGGATTTTTTTTTTTTTTTAAATCTCAGAGCAGAAGAAGCCTAAGTATTCCCCCAAACTCAGGTACCATAACAGAGTGATAGATTAGACTTCATTTTTGTGTAGTTAAAACAAAAACATCAAAAGTAAAATAATAAAGAACTAAGGGAAAATTGTTTTCAAGTCATATACTAGAAAGACAGCTAATTTCTCAGTATACATAAAGAGCTTCTACAATTACATAAGAAAAATACCACCAATCCAGCCCTGGCCAGTTTGGCTCAGCAGTTAGAGCATTGGACCTCAAACCAAAGAGTCAAAGTTTCGATTCCAGTCAGGGGCACGTACCTTGGTTTCAGTTCGATTCCTGGCCCAGGCTGGGCTTGTGCGGGAGGCAACAAATCAATGTGTCTCTCTCACATCAATGTTTCTCTCTCTCTCTCTCCCTTCCTCCCTCACACTCTCCCTCTCTCTCTCACACTCTATCTGAAGATAAATGGAAAAATATCCTCAGGTGAGGATTTGATTAAAAAAAAAAAGAAGACCACCAATCCAATGGAAAATGAGCAAAGAATAGATTCCAAAAGTTCTCGGGAGGGGAAATACAAGTGATCTTGAACAAATGCACTTATGCTCAATCATAATTTAATTAATTACAATATGATAACTATAAAATGTAATTAATCCATTCTTATGCTGGTAGCTCAGTTTTTTGTTTTTTTTTAAATTTTTTTTATTTATTTTTTTGTTACAGATATTTTACCTTTTTTACCCCATTGGCACCCCCCCCACCCCTGCCCCATCCCCGGCTTAGTTGTCCATGTCCATTGGTCATGCATACATGCATATAAGTTCTGTGGTTTATCTCTTGGTAACTCAGTTTTAATTAGTGTAGGTTTATAATAATACTGGTGGGAAAAAATCCTCCCCAATTATTTTGATTCTAAAAGAAATGTAGCCAAACTACAACTGAAAAATGAAATTAAAAAAATAAAAGAAATGTAGCCATTCTCATATGGGCCAATGGTACAAATATTGATAAGACTTTAGTATGTGATACAGTTCATACCTTCAACCAGTAAGGAAAGGATGGCTTATGTAATCAGTGGTGTGGGGACCACACGCTAACCATTTGGGACCTGCCAACGCCGACACCTGCCTCCCGGAGAGCATCTCCCAGGCTGATTAGGAGTGGGGGCGCAGTCAGATTTGTAAAATTCGGCTACAAACACCCTGCCAGGTATGTACGAACACACCACACACACACACACACACACACACACACACACACACCACCTGCCTCCTCCCCTCTGAGGCCAAAATGGTGTATGGAATGCAATTGTAAGTGATTGTGTCCTTTTTTATACTTTTCTGTATCTTACATGGTCTACAATGTGGATTTAATTTAATTTAATGCTTTATCATTTCCCCCTGATTATTTCTCATCAGGATAAAATCCGTATTTGTTGTTAAAAATTTTTTTTTTTTGGAAAACACGGAAAAGCACAGAGAAGAAAATACCAGTCATCGGTCACCCCACCCAAATCAGTAGGAGACATCACACCATCTAAGCTTGCTTTATGGTTGTCTCTAAACAGCAAGCAGTTTGCAGTCTCGTTTTCAGAGTGAGTACAATTGTTTAAACCCCTGTGTCTCATCAGAGGCCAAACTGATATTCACTGTGCTGGATGTGCACTGGGGCCACCAGAGATGACACAGCCCGGCACTGCCCCGGAGTCCAGCTGTTCTGCAGAGGGTATGTCAACCAAAGAGCGCAGCAAGGTCTGTAGCCACACAGTCCACATAAAAAGCTCAGATAGCAGAGGAGTTAAATATAAAAAATGAGATCATAAAAGTACAAGAAAGACATTTCTGGAATCCGTCTGTCTCTCAAAGTTTGAGCGTGACATTGTAAACGAGGTTCTGCTTTTAGCATCTGTGACACCTCGGTGTGCTATGGTTTCCTTGCTCTCTGAAGTCCAATCTGCCTTTTCTTAGGTGCCTCTGAAGCTTGGAAGGCAGGATGAGGTTGGGATTTTTCATATTTTCATATGCATCCCTCACTAAGGCCACTGGTTACCCAGCTGGTGTGGCTCAGTTCATTGGGTATCATCCCATGCACCAAGATCCCCAGTAGGGGAGTGCAGGGGGCAGCTGACTGATATTTCTCTCTCACATTGATGTTTCTTTTTTTTTTTTTTATGAATTTTTATTTATTTTTTTGTTACAGATATTTTAACTTTTTACCCCATTGGCACCCCCCACCCCACCTCCGCCCCGTCCCCGACTTAGTTGTCCATGTCCATTGGTCATCACATTGATGTTTCTATCTCTCTCTCCTTTTCCCTTGCTCTCTCTCTAAAAATCAATAAAAACATATTTTTTTAACCAAAGGCCTCCCGGTGAATTATTAAAAGCTATAATTCAAAATAAACATTATTATCTCATTCTCTATAAAATAATGTGCAAAATGTTAAAAACAAACAAACAAACAAGGCTATACTTTGAAATTCAACATTGGTTTTCCTTAAGAGGTGAAACAACCTGTATTTTTATTTTCTTTATAGGGTCTTTCCGTATTTTTGACATTTTCTGTAATAAGCAGGGATTTTTATCATCAGTAAATAAAAATCCAACGCACACTATTAGATTAAAAAAGAAAAGAATTCTCTCCAGCATAAGAGGCTCCTAAGTGGGTGCGCAGCCCCTCCCTGTGACAGCTGGACCGTCACACACCGGCAGGTGGTTCTCCCAGTGCGGGGAGATTTACCTGTGATATCTGCAGAACATTCTGGCGTATTTTTCCTTGACCTCCTCTAAGTTGTTTGCATTCCCATCCTCCAGGTTGAAGGATTCTGTTGGGGAGTTGAAGGTAAGGGTCACCTGGGCCTTTGTGGAGTCTCTCCTGCCTTTCTGGTCTATGGGGAGCCTGGGTGGTCCCTGAGCCCACCCGGGGTTCAGTGTTAGGGAGTCAAGAGCCCAGCTGCACCCCTCCTTCCATGTGTGAGAGGGAAGTGCTTCCTAGACTCGTCCAGCTCACTCAAGACATTGAAAGTGTCCCTTTCAGAGTTCAGCTTCCACCAGCTCATTAAACTCAATTTCCCAGCAGCCATCTCTCCCAAACCGGGGCCAAGGAAGGGAGCCAGGTTCTGACAAACACTGGTCCACTTTTTCTCTGGCCTCTCAAGATGAGATCAGGTACCCTTCAACAGCACCCCAATAGGATCTCACCACGCTCGACAGGCTGGTGACCTCTGAGGTCAGGCTGTGAATCTCCTGGTGTCCCTGGCCCAAGCACAGGGCCTGGCACACAGTAGGCACTCGGTAAAGATTCATTCACTTTGCTTAACCCAGTGTCTCTGTTTTCAATAGAACAACCAACCAGCCTTTCTTTCCCGGGGGGGTGGGGGGGGTGGGGGGGTGGCAGGTAGAACCTGTTACCTTTCACCTTCAGCAGATTATCCAAGACTTGTTCCTGCTCCTGAATATGACTCTTCGCCCTGTTCAAAACCTGCCACTGAAGATAGAGACAGACACGCTGGAAGCCGGCCTCCCGCTGCACAGACTGGTTTTGCAGACACAGGAGCCCCTTCCTGGGTCTGAGGCCACAATCCCTCAGGTGTAAAGTCACAGTCCTCCACATTCTCAATAAAAAGGGTAGGCAGCTGGTTTTGATGAGCAGAAGACATGAAGTTTAATGTGTGTCCTGAAAATGGGTCTCACCAAAATACCGAAGTATTCAGAAACAATTAAGCTGCGTTCGGCAAATGACTAGGGCTGCAAAAAAGGCAAACGACTCCATGTGCTACTTAAAGGAGGAATAAATGGTGACTTACAGGCGGTCTGAATGAATATCAGCCCCAGGCTGGCACAAGGCTCCCAACTCATTTCTGCTCGCTTGTCACAGTGCAACTGGCTGGCTAATACGAAACGTGCTATTCTAACACTATTTTTTATTTGCTAAATGCATACGCTCCACTTGATCTAAAAACTTAAATGCTCTGTGTCTTGAGCTCTGAATTTCCTGTTCTGCAGGACTAGAACCGCAGCATTCCTCCCTCATTCCCTCCTTCCCTCCTTCCTTCCTTTTTTCCTTCCTCCCGCCCTTCCTTCCTGTAATATTACTAAAGTCAAAATGATAACTGCAAGATTGTTAAAAAATGACAACTGTAAATACTGTTTATTATGCTGACCACTGATACCTGTCTGGGTGACCTACATTCATCGGGCACGTGTCTCAGGGGACACGGCTGGGCCTGGGGATGCAGGGCAGACAAGACAGCCCCTGCTTTCAGGGTGCCGCTGTTCTACTAGGGAGACAAACATGAAACAACCACTTGTTAACACAAACTAGAATTCAGGAAGTGCTGAAAAGGGGCAGAGCAACGGGCCGTGGAACGGCACCGGAGGGGGACTGGTTCTACCTGCAGGGACTGAGAGCCTCGTGGGGCGGGGCGCGGAGCTCAGTGAGGCAGCAGCAGACGGAGCACAGGGAGGTGTCCACACTGATCGCTGGCCCACCAGGCAGGCCCCAGCCCTCAGGGCAGGGAGGGGGGAAGTGGCATCCCCAGGCCAGTCCCCACCTTGCTCTATGCTCCCTCCATGTATAGAAATTTTCCTCCCCACACTCAGGTCCTCATACCTTTGAGGCTGTGAAGTCAGACTGCTGGTAAACGATTTTCCTGAGGCTACTGAAGAGCCTTGTCAGGGTGGCTCGGTGGCGGGCCTGGGACAGGCGTCTTCGGGCCACCCGAGGCTCAAGCTCCTGTACCTGTGCCAGGCGCTGGGGCACCGCTCTGCCACTGGGGTCACTGCCTTCTCCAGAGGTCGCCATTAAATGCTACAATGTAATATTATGCTCTGGGGAGCCTAGATAATAAAGATACAATATTAAAGAAAAGGAAGGCAGATTGAAGCAGGAAGAAAGTAAAGGATCCCAAACCAATGAACAGAATCAATAGTAGATACATAATAAATAATAGATGACACGAAATTTGTTATTTAAGTTCAACTCTTCAAAACGCAAGCCCTCTCATATTACACTTACAGGCGAAGGGTGCTGCTGCTGCCTCACACCAGGAAGTTTCTAGAAAGTTGCAGGTACTCACCAGATACTTGTTAATTGACTGCTGTGGCCAAGGAGAGCAAACTGTACTCTGAGATCTTATTCATTTCACTCTGCTAAAAGCTGAACAGGTATGTGGCCCACCCTTTGAGGTGTTTCCTACCACCAGAATGCACCCCATTGTGATCTGAGTAGTGGTTACACAGGTGTATAGATATGAAAAAAAAATCCATCAAGGTATATTCTTTAGATTTTCTTTAAAGAGAAGAGAACACCCTCTTCTACCTGTGAAAGCAAAAAGTCACATAATGACAGAGAAATGGATTTGGCTTGTCAATTTCTAGCAGGTTCTGAAGATGATCATTATGTCATCCTTTGTTACATCTGAGTTTTTTATTTGTTTGTTTTTTGTTCTGTTGTTACTCCTTGCCAGAGGATAATTTTTCCTTTTTTTTAGAGAGAGAGAGAGAGTAGAAGGGAGAGTGGGAGAGAGAGAGAAAAAAACCATCAATGTGAGAGACACAGACACATTGATTGGTTGCCTCCCACACGTGCCCCTTTGAACTTACAACCCAGGCAGGAGCCATTGACTGGGAATTGAACCTGCAACCCTTTGGTGCGAGGGCCGATGCTCTAACCTCTGAGCCACACTGGCCAGAACTACATCTGAGTTTATGAACCAGGAGCACTTCCCTAGGAGAGGCAATTCTAGGACTGATACCTAATGGTTTTAAGAAGAGACAGCAACCGCCCAGCCAGTGTGGCTCATTGGTTGAGCGTCGACCCATGCACCAAGAGGTCGCTGGTTCGATTCCCGGTCAGGGCACATGCCCAGGTTGTGGGCCTGATCCCCAGTGGGGGCATGCAGGAGGCCGCCAATCGAATCGATGTTCTCTTTCTCCCTTCTTCTCTCTCTCTAACATCAAGAAAGAAAGAAAAAAGAAGAAGGAAAAAGAGAGAGAGAGAGAGAGAGAAAGGAAGGAAGGAAGGAAAGAAGGAAGAAAGGAAGGAAGGAAGAGAGAGAGAGAGAGAGAAGAGAGAGAGACAGGAATCAGAGTCTCTTACCTGGGGCATGAACCCCTTCATCAGGTGCTCACCCCACCACTGCTCTGCCAGTTCTATGTCTTCATTACCTCTGGACCCCAGTAGGTGCTCAGTGCTGGGGTTTTGAGGGACTCAGAATGGGAGGTCTTCGCTGGGTCCATTCTCCCCCGAGCTCAGTCCTGCTGCGCAGGCACAATGCTTGTCCTCAGCCAGTTTTCATGTATGCCAGTCACTTGGGGAGACCGTTTAAACATACATGCCCGGGCCCCATTTCAAAAACACCAGACCGAAGCTACTGGGGTGGGCCCACGCATCTCGTGGGCAACATCTGCCCAGGTCATCTGAGACTTTCATGGTTTGAGCACATGCATGGCAACGCCTGTCTCAAAGCTCCACAGCTGCAGCAGCTGGGACAGAATCTCCTCTGCAGAAGGAGTACAGGGAAGGAGGAGGAAAGCTTTGCCGCTAAATTCTAGGGGGGGAATCAGCCAGAGGTTGGGAACCCAATCGGGCAGCGTGGGATTTGAAAACACCTTTTAGGTCCTGGCCAGTTTGGCTCAGCTGTTAGAGTGTTGGCCCGAGGACCAAAGAGTTGTGGGTTCGATTCCAGTCAAGGACAAGTACTTTGGTTGCGGTTCAGTCTCTGGCCCTGATCAGGGTCATGTGGGAGGCAACCAACTGGTATGTCTCTCTCACATCAATGTTTCTCTCTCTCCCTCCCTCCCACACTATCTGAAGATAAGTGGAAAAATATCCTCTAGTAAGGATTTTAAAAGAAAGAAAGAAAATGCCTTTTCGGTCAGAAGGCAAATCTCCCATCAACAATGTGATCTACTTCCCTCAGTTTGCTTCCCAGAACCATGGCAGGAAGGTGGCAAGTGGATGTCATTGTAGTTGCTGCTCTGATCCCTGTAAGCTCCTGTAACATTCATTACCAGAGTCACACCATCAGCATGGCGAGGACGATGGAGAATCAATCTGCAAAGGCCCATCCAGCCCGAGGGCAGGGTTACAATGGGGGCCACACCTCATAGTCTCCAATGTCCAGATGCTAGCAAATCTTTCATAGGAAGGAAAGTGAACCGGTAAAGGTTTTGAACTGCCTAGGGCAAAATGAGAACCTTCTGAATCTAAGGACATAGCTTCTCATTACTTATTTAAATTTAAGAAAAACGAATGTGCCTGGACACCAGGGAATTCAAGTCAATGAATGGAGGTAAAAATGCCAGGTCCCTCCCAGGATCTCGAATTCTCTAAGTCTGGAAATTCTATTACAAAGACCTTCGGGCTGTGGAACATCTGGAACTCGCCCAGTGCCAATGCTGATAATTTGGGTTTCCTCCCAGGCTTCGACCCAAACACACTCCTGAATTATCTAGATGGCTCTGTGGTCAGTTTCAGTCACCGGATAAGGGTGCAGCCCTCTGTCTCTCCCATAGGGGGCAGACCGTTCCATTACTTGCTACTCCGGGGGGGGGGGGGCGCAGCTTTCACTGACGCCGCTAGGGGAGAAGGTGGCGCTAGAGCATCCTGCCCAGCAACTGGGAGCTGTGACCTCCACCTCACCCCGCCTGACCGAAGTTCCCAGGTCAAGAGGTGGGTGGGGGCGGGGCACACCGCACCGAAGATGGGAGAAGATTCTTCCACTCTGCTTTGAGGGGAGAATCAAGTCGAGAAGGTGTTGAGCATGACAAGACCTTGTGCAATATTTTGTTCCTAAATGTTGCCTCTTGCTCTACACTAGGAATGATTTGCTATGAATTCCCCCAAAAACATTCTTTTCAAGTAATCTTTATTGACTTGCACTGTGGACCTGACTGGAACTTAAGCTGATGTTTTTTAGACAGAGCTCTTTGTTGCAGTAACAGTTGGATCTGTCCCTTCAGTGCCTGTGATCTGTGTGAAGGGATGGATCTCCCAGGACAAATGCCACAGGAGTCAGTCTAGAATGGGGAGGCAAGAGCAGGACCCCCTTCTGCCTTATCCCAAGGCTGGCTCTTTTGCTAGGACCATGGGAACTAACTCTAAAAATGAGATCCATAAGTCATCAGGAGAAAACACAAACAAACCTTTCCCCAAAAAAGTCCTATACAATTGCAAAGTGTGTTAAGGACACTGCTCCCAATAGTATAAGGAATTAGCGCAGTTAGAGAGCACAGTCTGAGACATCATCCCCAGGGCCTGGAAATCAGCATTGTAATAGCTTCGAAAATTCATAATCTGCCTTTTCCACTTCCCCTCACTACCCACAAAATAAACATCTGCTCTCCGGCCCACCAACCTCCATTCTGTGGCCTACTGCCTTTCCTCCCACCTAGAGGGCCCCACCCCAGTTTCTAGTTGACTTGTCCTTCAATTCCTAGTTGAAGTCTTAATTCCTCTGAGAAGTTTCCCAGTCTACACTGGTTTCTAACTTGACCTTGTTTTGAGTAAGGTCCTTAGTCAGGATCCATGTATCCAGCACGAAAGGTGTCCCTCCCAGAGTGCGTACCATGTGTGGGCATACATGATTAATGCCAACACTCCCCTTCCCAGCTGCTTCTCCCACACTAAAACCACAAAGAGTCCTGTTGCCTGGACAGCTAAGACCATATCTCCCAGGCCTGGGGATGAGCAGAGGCACTGGGTTGAAAGAACTAAAGGAAACCGAAGATCAAGAGAAAACCTTGGGGACAGGAAATAACAGCTAGTTTCACCTTAACCCCAAAGACTTCTCCGGGTATTAAACATTTATAGTCTCATGAATTCCGTTTTTGGCACAATTCACAATGAGAGGCACACACATTTGAGAAGCTGAAAAAGCTTTTGAAAGTGATGCTGGCCAGTTACCACATAAGAGGGGTGGGGCGGGATTAGCCTGGGGAAAGAACCTGGATTTCCAAACTCTGACTCAGAAAACTGAGCAGGTTTGGACATCTAACAGGTGAGAACCGAGGGAACTCAGTACAGATGTAGTATATACGTACTACATGCCATATTTTATTACTTCTCATCTATACACCAGCATACTTTCATTACCAAATACTTTCCTAATAAAACACCACTTAATATCCACTTAGAGCTGACATTTTTTTTTAACTCCCTTGACTAAATTAAAAAAAAAAAAAAAAGGTCCAGAGAAACTTTCAATCATTTTTAAACACTTGAGTGTGATCCATTCAAGCCCTAGGCACACCTATCAGATCATGTAAAATGAAAATCCAATCTCAGAAATATATGTAGGTCATCACAGTGACATGTACAAACGTTTGTATTAAAGTCTGGCCCCAGACCTAAATGTTCACCTGTTTAGATAGATGCCCCGGCTTGAATCAATTCGCATGTCAACAGACACCCGCAAGGCAAAGTGCACCCTTCTGGAGGTGAGTGGGTGCAATAACCTTAGTGTTTAGTCCATACTCACACTCGGAGGGATGGGCACCTGTGCACACGACGTCCCCACTCCCTGACATGCGGGAGGCTGCGTGAAGCCCCGAGAGCAGTGACAGCAATGACAGTGATCACGGGCCTTGCTCCAGCCAGAATGGGGACCATGGCTTCTGCCCTGGCCAAAAAGCAGACCTAGCACCTAGGCACAGGGGCATGGCCCAATCACGGCGTGTCCCCGGCACCCACAGCCAATGGGGATGCGCTGTGGCGGGCCAATGAGAGTGCGGGCAGTGGAAGAAACAATGTAACTTGGGGTCCGAAAGCACACGAAGGCGAGGTGAGAGGAGGGACGCGCG